CTCCTCTCTCTCTCTCTCACAGACACATACACACACACACACACACACACACACCTCATGACATATAGCTTCCAATCCCAAGGTTCAAAAGAAATCAAAGAATATGTTAAAGATGAATGTGAAAAGAGACAGATGAAGATGAAGAAAAGAAAAAAGCAAAATGAATGTCCGAACATTGGAAATTTCTAAAAAGAGAATAAAAGCCAAAACTAAACAGGATAAATATCTCATAAAAGAATTTAATAAAGAATTGCAGAGAGCTGTTAGAAGAGACAAGAAGCAATCACATGATTTCTATAAAGACAGTGAAAATGGAAACAGACAAGAAAAACAAGGCAAGTTTTCCAAAAGATCTGAGAGAGCGACCACCACAGTAGAGGACAGATATTGGATCTGGCTTTTGTATTGAGGCTGTGGTGAAGCCATCTGGATATGGAGGAAATGAATATCAGTCCCTTGTTGCACTCAGAACACTTTTTGAGTGCCAGGGAATTTTTCATGGCCACAAATGCCCCATTGCAGAAGGGAAGTTGGGCTATTCAGTCAGTTCACTCCAGGCACCTCTTTGATTCCATAAAGAGCTTGATTTTTTCCTTCAAAAGCTCATCACAAAATATGATCATACAGTGATAATTGCTGAATTATCTATATGGACTAGGTGCACTAGCACTTTTACAAAAGTATTATCTGTGTAATGGGAATTATTTTGGGCTGTGCATATGGATGGGTTTTTTGTGTTCAAATGTTTAGTAAGTTAATATTTTCTAATTAGCTTACAAAACTGGGCAGATTAGACATATGAATGCCTAAACAAATAAAATATTAATGGTTAAGTAACTGGTTTTCAGCAACCACTTTAAAAGCAAAAGTCAAAATATCAGCTATGACATTATTATTTTCTGAAATAAATCAGAAAAAGTAATCCAACTAATAATAAAAATGCTTTGTCTTACTTCATAAAATAAAGGTGTTTCTTTTTCTTTGACCTTCTTTGCTTTTGCATCTACAACTTCCATGATCTAGAAAGAAAAAGGGAGCAAATGTAACATAATGAATTTTCTGGTTTCACATGCTCATTTTTTTTGCACATTCTGTAATCTATTCAAAACTATTCTAAGTTATCGCCACATACATAATTATTTGAAAAATGTATTGTGTAATGATGTTGCATATTCTGAAGCATTATTTTCAATGAACTACATAGTCTTAATGAAATTAGAATGAAATTCCACTTTCTTTTTCTTTTTTTTAAATACTTATTAGGGATTTTAACAATAGTAAAAAATAATATAAATTGAAATAAAAAAGTAAAAGTACTAAAAAAGGAGAAAAGAGAAAAACACAATATTTCAATATTAAGTTAAATATTTCAAAACTGTTATGTATCTTGGTTCATTTCAAACTTTGGTGGACTAAAATCTTATCTACTTTTTGCCATTTATATTTTATCTTTAAATCCTTATATTGTTAATTAATTTTTCCGTTCTCTTTGGAATGAAGTACCACTCAACAGGTAGTTTTTCAAATGTATTCCTTGGAAGAACTCTTTTAACTTTAAATTTTTATTCCAAAAGAATTTTTTTTCAAAAGAAAATTCCATTTTAAAATGTGTTTTACCATATGTAGTGGGGACTGTTTGAGAAAGACTAATCTATCGAAGAGCACGTATACAAAAATAATTGTTTCTTGATTCCTAGTCAAAATCTTTTATGAATAATACTGAAGTTTGCAATACTATTCTCTAAGGTTCCTTTCACATACACAAAAAGAAAAAACATGGTGTGCTTGATGTTTAAAATTACTCTGAATACAGTATCTCTGATAGTAATACATTGTTGCCTTTAGTTGCTATCAATGTAAGAGAAAATTAATAGTAATGGAAACTATAGTGTAATGGCTGTTTCAATATTCTTGAAAAATATAACTTTTTTATTGTGCTTATAAAAAATAAACATATTTCAAGTGATATTTATAAGAAACCAACAAGTACAAGGATTTATATGCTTTTAAGAGACTGAGTTCAGGCTTGTCCTATTTGCAATAACACATGTAAACTTTGTGAAGACAGATGGATATATATTTGTGTCTAGGTATCTGGAAGGATATTGCCCTGCAGTTATATGATGTTATCAGCATTTGCATGCAATACAATGAAACTGTACATAATTATGTGATAAACACTTATGTAATCTTCAAATCTGATTTTTTTTCTCCTCCTATTGTCAACTGCAAGCATAGAAAAGCCTCTTCTAGGGCCAGTTCTCTTTGCTATATTCAGATCAAAAATATCTGGCAACAAGTAGTGTTTCTCAGATATCACCCTGAATTATAGGTAAAACTGCATCCTACTTTTAGAATCAGCTTTAATATAATCGCTCCACAACTGTAAATACGATACCTGTGCTAATAATTCTTCCCAGGAAACCACACTGAAGAGTTTCCTTTGTGGCACCTGCACAGCCAGTGTTAGTGCCTTTATGTGAAGTTCATCCTCAGGTCTGCTCCCAACAACAAAGGCAATACTGGGAATCCAATTTTCCTGATTAAAAAAAAAACAGTAATTAAACCATTAAAAGTACTGATAATGAATTATAAAGCCCTACATGACATGAGATTGGGTTATTTGAGGGGCACCTTTTCCATATCCTATCTACCTGATCCATCAATTCCATCAGAAAGTGCATATTTTGGGTCTTGTCCACAAATGAATGTCATGCCAATGGGCCCAGAAGGAAACCCCTTTTCTACCATGGCACCAGCCCTCTGGAACATCATTTCTTCAGATTCAGACTGCCCCTGACCTTATTAGCCTTCCAGAAGGCCCTAAAGAACATAGCTTTATCATCTGGCCCGGGGATCCGGTAGTGGTGGTATGGGCACTGCAAAATGACTGTACTGTTAAAGTATTGACTGTCCTTTGTTCAGATTATGTTTTTAATAGTTTCAATAATTTTAATGTTTAAGTGGCATTTTGGTTATTTTGTATTGTTTTTTTGTGATTTTAATTCTGTAAGCCATTCACAGTCACATATGTAAGAGGGCAGCTACATAAATTGAAAAGGAAGAAAAGAAAGGAAAAGAAAAGAAAAGAAAAAAGGCAGGCAGGCAGTATAAAGGCATTCCTTCTCCTTTATTTTATTTTTCCATGCTCAGAAATTAAATTTATGCAATTGCCCTCTACCACTAGATGGCAATATTATACTATATACTAAATCTACTAGCTGTTTCTACTATTTATCCTAACCAAATATTATTCTATAATGTTATTTGGCAAGATACAGATATATTTGCACAAGTAAATAAAACAAATTTTAGATAAATATGCCTGTAGAAGTGATAAGCATTAATAATGCATATAATTGAGATCATGAGACTAAAGGACAAATGGAATACCAGCTATGAAATGATAAATTTTTAAATAATCACTAATGCATTGTTTCTTTTGTTTGCTCTGAGTTATATTCTTTATTTATAAGTAACTTCATTTTGCTATATCAGACACAGTGAATTTTGAATCTGAAATGCTATATATTAACAGCTGTAATTTTAATTATATAAAATACCATACAGCCACACTATATTATTGTTAATTTGGTTTATTTCTTATTTTCCATAAACAAAATAATGAAGTTACCTATTAGATGTACTACTCATTAAAATTGATCAGATATGTTTGAGTAATCTATATTTAATGATAAGACTGAACCAGTTTGGATTACATGCTATATAACTCAACACATGGCTACAAATATCCTGAGACTCCTCTATATCATCTAAAAGTTGCATCTGTGGGATTCTCCTGGAGTGCAGAAAGGATAGACCATACATTCTGGTCTCATAAATTTGACACAAGTGTCAAGAACAAATGTATAAGCACACCAATAATTACAGTTATTGGCTACAGTTACAGTTATAGTTATTATACAAGTGGGATAGATAGCATCACCACCAGATGAATTTGTAACCAGCTCACAAACCATACTCAACGAGTTACCCTTAATGGTATTACATCTACATGGAGGGAAGTAAGCAGTGGGGTACCACAAAGTTTGGTCTTAGGCCCAGTACTCTTCAATCTCTTCATAAATAAGGGAATAAAGACAGAACTCATCAAATTTGTAGATGATACTAAACTGGCAGGAATAGCCTACATCCTAAATGATAGACTCAAGATCCAAATGGACCTCGACAGACTTGAACATTGGGCCCTATCTAACAAAATGAAGTTCAACATAGAGAAAAGTAAAGTCTTACACTTAGGCAAGAAAAACCACATATAAATTAGGTGAAATCTGACTTAATAGCAGTAATTGTGAGAGGGATCTTGGAAACTAGTGGTGAATCAGTTAAATATGAATTATCAATGTGCAGTGGCAGCAAAAAAAAAAGCCAATGCAATCTTAAATTGCATCAACAGAGGGACTGAATCAAGATCATGTGAGGTGATAGTACCACTCTATAAAGCCTTAGTAAGGTCACACTAGAATACTGCATCCAGTTTTGGTTTCCACACTATAAGAAAGATGTTGAGACTCTACAAAGAGTACAGAGAAGAGCAACGAAGATGATTAGGGGCCTGGAGGCTAAAACATATGAAGAACTGTTATAAGTACCGGGTATGAACAGTCAAGTGAAGAGAAGAACCAGGGTGATGTGATAGCGGCATTCTAATATTTGAGGGGCTGTCACAGAGAAGAGGGGGACAATCTATTTTCCAAAGCACCCAAAGGCCAGACAAGGAACAATGGATGGAAACTGATCAAGGAGAGATTGAACCTAGCAATAAGGAGAAAATTCTGACATTGAGAACAGTTAACCATCTTTATCACTGGAGGCTTTCAAGAAGAGATTGGACAACCACTTGTCAGAAATGGTATGGGGCAGTAATAGCAAATCTTTTTGGCACATAGTGTCCAAACCAGAAGGTGCACCTGTGTGCGCGCACCAGAACCCTGACAACCACCTATCTGGTGTGCATGTGCACTTCAGACACTTGACAACCAGCTGGCTGAACTGGGGTGAAAGTGCGCATGCCCACTGAGAGGGCTCTGTGTGCCACCTCTGGCACGTATGCCATAGGTTCACCATCACGGGTATAGGGGCTCCTGTTTTGACTAGAAGACTTCCAAGATACTGTCCTGTCCTGCCCTCCCCTGTCCCCCCTCCTCTCCTCTACAAAGAAAATGGCCCAATACAGGTAGTCCTCAACTTACAACCACAATTGAGATCAAAATTTATGTTGTTAAATGAGAGATTAGTTAGTGAGTTTTGCCCCATTTTACAACCCTTCTTGTCCCAGTTGTTAAGTGAATCACTGAAATTGTTAAGTTAGTGACATAGTTGTTAAGTGAATCTAGCTTGACTTTGCTTGTCAGAAAGTTGCAAAAAGTGATCACATGTCCCAGTGGTGGGATGACCAATATGCCCCGTTATGGGTGTACCGGTGTCTCCTGGGAGCACCACGTGCCATTCCGGTACTGTGCTCCGGAAGGCCCGCCCGCCTGCGCGCCTTACCTGTATTTGAGCAGTTTGGGGTTTTCGCGCACGCAGCTGGAGTGTTGCGGAGGCATTGCAGAGTGTCATGGGCGGTAAATACGGATGTGCACGCTGCGCATGTGCGCGCGCGTGCTGTGAGCGTTCATGTGGTGGGTGCCAGGCCCCATTGCACTGTACTGGTTACAACGGGATCTGGAACCCACCAATGACATATCCCCAGGACACTGCAACCTCATAAATATGAACCAGTTGCCAAGCGTCTGAATTTTGATCATATGACCTCAGAGACAATACAAAGGCTGTAAGTGTGAAAAATGGTTGAGTCACTTTTTTCAAAGCTTTTGTAACTTTGAACGGTCACTAAATGAGCTGTTGTAGATCGAGGAACTGCCTGTATAGCTACTTACAATGTTCATGTCCATAACCTCTCTCTCTCTGCTTTCAAACCATGTAAGCTACTAATATACTCTAATATAGTGACCTAATTCTCTTTCATTTTGAGAACTGTCAGCCTCCAACACAGGCTGAAGTACAATCCATATATCATAAAAAGGGAACTACATGGAAATTCTGATTAGCTTGGAAGCTCAGCAAGGCTGGGACTGGTTAGTTAACCAGTAGAAAATCTCAGGCTAGGAGATGAAGTGGGAAAAACATCCCCAAACAAGACAATGGCAAACTATTTCCCATTGACACCAAGAAAAGTGCATAGATGTATCCACCAGGACTTGGATTTGATTGAAAGAGATTTTTCTCTTATGATACACCAGGTTCAAGGTGGCTTCATCTCCTGGTGGTGGTGGGTTGTTGTCTTGAGTTGTAATTATATTACATTCATGATTTCTTGAGGGCAAACCCACAAGCAACGTTAGGGAGCTTGCTGCTAAGCAAAGAAAGACTGAAACCTCAAACTAAGTCTGTTCGCAATCTGCGCTGAGTATAGGACAGAGGTCTTCAAATTTGGCAACTTTAAGACTTGTGGACTTCAACTCCCAGAATTCTCCAGCCAGCTCTGGCTGGAGAATTCTGGGAGTTGAAGTCCACAAGTCTTAAAGTTGCCCAGTTTGAAGACCCCTGGTATAGGACTTCCTCCCCCCACCCCCCTGCAAACACTGAGATCGACCACATCCCGCCAAACAGGTCCACCTTTTTTTCCTGAGACAAGGACCAATGTGT